CTTAAATAGGCTGATTTGGCAACAGAACGAGAACGTCAGTTGATGACGGCGCGCGCAAACTAACAACTGGCTTGACCAATGGTGGAGCGGCAAATTGGGCACCGGAAGTCGTGTTTAGTCCTTTCCTCGCGCTTTCCCGTCGTCATCAGCCTATTTGATGGTGTGACAGTGACATCACGGCAAGACCATCTACTCGGGGAAAACAAATACATCACCTTGAGGTCAACTGCGAACAAAGTTCTTTGTCGGCCAGTTGTCAACGTTTGACTAAACTCTAGGCAGTTTCAGAAGTAATACTTGCAAGATCTATGGGTAGGCTGGTACTTTTGGAATTCACGGTTTTCGTTTTTATCGCCATCTTTTTCTCCCACGTCTTAAATCTCTTGTAAGTCAGAAGTCTTGGTTCATCGGTTAATAACTCAAAGCTCTTCTCGCGTCCGTAAACGAGTGTATCATCTTATCCATATTTTTCTAGGATTAAACTTGGTTTTTTTACGCAGACGATAAACCACTCCCCTGGAACTTGTGGAGTGATACAAGGTACGTTTGCAGAACTCAAAATACTTGTAGCAATCGCCTTATTTCTTGGGGGTGAAACAGCGTCTTCTCAGTCATATCCTGTGCTTTTGGTCACAGCTTATTTACATTTTGAGAACAGTTTAAAAGGGGCAGTTGCGATCATTTCATTTACAAATTTAGATAATTTTTTTTCAATATCTTTTTTTCTTCCTTCTTTTAATAGTCATTCTGTTCAGTTTTCTGTCTAATTCCGGTAGTCAGTCTGGGATCAGTCAAAACCTCCGAACAACTAATTTTGAGTTACAGGGCAACTAGGCTACGCAAGCGTAACATGACTAACATGTGCCTGGAGCGTGAGGGATTGAAAAGTAAGAACAAAACTATCTTCAATATGAAGTCCATTCGTTTGTTTAGCTGTAGAACGCCATAAAGTTTGCTGTTAGCTGTTATTAAGTGCGTGTAGACATGCAGCACGCGCGTTTTGGACATTTGTGGCTCGAAATTGTTGTGGGTTTGACATCATGCATTAACAAATCATGATTACTTTCAAATATACTGCAAAACCTCTTTGTCGAGGAGGTTGATTATTCACTGAAATTTAAGCGGTATTTATTAAAACGAGTGTGATTGATTGTTTTCTTTTTCTAGCGAACGGTTCTGAAGATTTCGCCCTTCTCCCTGATGGACTGGTCTTTGTGTCTTCCGTAAGTGCTTGTTGTTTATTGTTGGAACTGTATTATGCATGCCTTAAGTCTTTGGAGGTGGGTAGCCTTCAATATCAAGTAATAGTTAAAAGTCCGAAAGGCATTTCTTCAGAAAACAGCTGGGAAAGCAAACTGTACTATTCTCAATTGTGCCTTATTTTTCCTGGACAGTAACTTTAAATTAAGCTCTCCTGCAAAAAGATTGCAAAATAAGGATGGGTAGGATACGCCCCAAACGTGAGGAAGGCCGATGAGGTTGTGGTTAGGGCTAGGGTTAGGGTTAGGACAGGAAATCTTAAAACAAATCCATCACGTTCAGACCACAGTTTTTCAAGAAAATTAGTGACCGTACCCTTTGCATCTTTTGTTTAAAAATGCAGAGTTCTTTCAAGTACTCTGGGTAATATTTCTCTGTGTTTAGGCTGTACCTTGGCTGCATGCCCTCTGGGTTCTGTTTACAAAGGTGGTTTGCAATAAATAACTTTAAGATCAGGTGATGGAATTGGCCAACATAACAATTTAACTAGTCTTTGATAAAACAGAGTTCTGAGAAACTGCCTTTGAAGAATTAACTGGTCTGTTTATAGGCGACCTTCTATTGCCTATAGAAATCATGCATTGTCCGCGCAACCTACAGATTAGTAGATAACTGATAGCAATTATCTGCGCTGATTTCCGAAATAAATGTAGTCTCAGCCAATGAGAAGACACATTGTGAAGTAATGTGTCAGGTTTAACTGGCACCAAAGATGTGCACACTATTAGTAATGCAAAAAATATGGAAAGCCTGCGTTGCAGTAATAAAGATGGCGAGTTTCAAGCTTAGAGATATCAATCGTGTCAATCGTGTTACCATTAGTAATAACACTGGTGATGATTAAATATGAATGATGATTATGATGACGTTGTTGATGATAGCGATGTATGATGACGATGATGATCATAAATTTTAAATGTCCTAACGAGTTTTGCTTATTTTTTCTTCTTTAATTTACCAACAGGGACTCCGCTATAAACTGGCACTCTATTACGACCCCGAGATTGACAAACGAGACTCTAAGCTGTTAACATTTGACCTCAACAAACCTGACCAGCATCCAGTTGAATTAACACTGAAGAACTTCAACGTCACGGGATTTAACCCTCACGGGATTAGCGCGTATCAAGACCCATCCTCGGGTCAGGTATCCTTGTTTGTTGTGAATCACCGACCAGATGCACAAGCCATTGAAATATTTGACTTTGAGCGGGAAAAACATTCATTAATACATCGCCGTTCTGTGGTGGATGATTTGATCTGGAGTCCAAATGATGTATATGCAGTAGGTAGGTGACTAGTTAATTAAGGTGGCTCGATCCTGTTTTTCAGTGATAACGTTCTCTCCTTGAACACGAAAAGCAAAGATGTCTCAAAAAAAGTAGAAAATCGAATTGTGCTCGTTACATTTGTAGGGCGATCATTTCAAGTGGCGATTATAACTCCTGGCCTTGGGGGAATGTAAAAAATTGAAAACAGTTGATTGCCCATTTCACATTCCAGCACTTTGGATTAAGATATAAGGGATTTTTACCTTTATTGGACGAAATGTGGCATGCAAATACAGCCATCGCTCCTCGCCGCTCTGCTTGGACGTTTCGTTTCCTTTCAAGCCCGTTTCGCTGCAAAGCCTGGTGAGGAAGAGCGATGAAAAGTGCCTTTTTCGCATATTAGGAACTGAGAGGTATTGGAGATCTTTTTAAAAACTCAACAATGGTAAAAAGAGGTCCGGTCAGCAACTACCTTTAGAATTAGCTCGAGACAAGGTACAAAAAACAAACAAACAAACAACAACAACAACAACAACATCATAGCGATTTCACACAAATAAAGCGCTATGCAACTTCAAAATACAAAAAATAAATAAATAAAAATAAATTACGGCCGGCGTTCTTTTAAAGCCTTGTGGCACGTTGAAGCGTCCAACTGAAACTGTAATGGCGTCGCGAAAGAAGTATCTTAGCGTTGAACACGTCCAAAATAACAGGCAAAATCAATCGATAAAATGGCAGCTCTTCACAGGCGCGGATACACAACAGTTTCCAGCGTGCCTATGTATGACGTTTACGTGCGTTAGGCTGTTGCAGTTAGCAATATGCGACGTCTAACGCTGAGCCGGTGCAGTCATGTGGCCAATACAGGGAAAAAAATAGTCCGTATAACCGGCTATCTATCAGATGTTTAATTAACAACATCTTGGAAAAACTAAAAAATAACCGCATGAGACGATTAACTTTCTTCTTTCCAATATATACCCTTTGCAGGTCCTGATAGCTTTTACGTCACCAACGATAACTTCTTTCATTTTGACCGCACTGTGATGAGAAACTTGTGGCTTTTTTTTCTGAATTACTGGCTGCATTGTAACATTGTGTTTTTTGATGGATTCAAGGCTATTGAAGCGTTTGTAGGAGTTCATCCTAATGGTATTGCTATGGATAAAGACAAAAGGTTAGTTGGTGTGTCTATAAGGTGCGTTGCATAGCAAACAAAAGGCGTTGCATGCGCCAGCATTTTATGAAATTGATCCCTAACGGAACGGTCACCTTTTTCTCAAAAAAATTTTAAAAAAAGGTTAAACTGATGCCAAATTGATGGAGAGGTGGACACAACAAGGTTTTCCCGCCATTCAAACTTATACGAATTGAGCTCATATATAATTCTAGCCTGCGCGCAGGCTCTCAAGTTAGGTTTCGCGCTGGATTCGTTTTGTGTTACTCACGCGAGATGATACGACCAGGCGGGAGTGAATACCCAGCGCCGGTGCGCTTCGCTGCTCGCGTGTCTCACTGACTCCTTTACTACTCTCGCCCCCAACAACGAGACCCAGCAAGTATCATTCATTCAAACAGAGAACGTAAACCTAGTCCAGCGATTTGAAAGTACGATTGTGCCGATCGCAGCTGTTATACGCAGACAACCATAAAAAATAGCTGTATCTATCTTCAGGAATCTTTTTTTCTCATAGATTGCTGTGACATCTAGCTGCAAACATTGTTAAGTTGTTTCCACTCAATCCATGCGATTGTTAAACTTGTTTCAGCAGCGATCTAAGCTGGTCTAAGCTTACGCTGTCATGCGCAAACCACTACTTGAAAACAGTCCAACTCAGAGATCAGCTGAACCCGGCAATTAAGCTGTTCCCAGCCATGTTTTTTTCCCTTGTAGGTTTGCGTTTACTCCCGACTACATTTCTCTCAGCGTGGCAATTTACAGACGTCGTCAAGACAACACATTAGAAAAGTGTCAGGTTAGTTTGCATGTGTTAGAGTAATTCCTTGATATTGCCCTAACGAGAGCGAAGTGGGATGGGAAGGGAGATTTTTAGACTCCCTTTATGACTTCCTGGTATCCTTGCTCATTCTAGAGGGGGTGGAACAGGGAGATCCAAATCTGCCGTCCCTTGTCCCTAGCATTTCCTGCTCCCGCCCCTTTTTGTCTTGTCCTCTGCACTTAAGCCCTTTTTCGATTGCGAAATATTAAGCATCCCCACCCCTCACCCCTCAAATTTCTCCCTCTTCCCTTCCTTTTAGAACTCCCACTATCCCGCCCTTTCGTCACCTCCCGCACCCCTTTTTCTCCCGAACTACCCCTCCCCTGTCCTCCCCCAACATCGTACCTTACGTCACTACGTATTACCTGAATACCTGTTGTTTTCTTCAACCATAGTTTATTCACCTCTTCAAAAATCCTTCACTTAAATATGTTATACGTTGAAACAGTTTCTTCAATAACGTTCG